TTATATTTTCATTTTTGTTTTTCTTCATTCCATTTGGAGCTATATGAAGTCCCCCTACTCCTAGAAATAATAGCAAGATTTTAGATTTCACAGTCTTAAACCCTGCAAGAAAACCCTTGTAAGTATATTGCCTGGTCTGTAATTAGACTTTTTAAAGACTTAACATAACCCACATGTGCCAGATGTGTAAATCTCTTGCCAGCTGAGATGCTTGCATCCTACTGAAGTGCTCCAAATCCCACCCAGAATTCTCTATACAGAGGGGAAAAAGCCTGTATTTCGTACTTCAACACAGAGATGGGTTCATTCCTGTTTCAGCTCAGTGCCATGAAGATAAGGAAGATGGCATGGCTAATTAAACTTCACTGCAAAGTTATACTATTTTTGGTCACTGGCTTTCTGCTTTTTGATTCTTCTAGAATGCTGCCTGTTAACCAAAATAGTTTCTAACGTTGTCCTTAATGTCAACTGACCACGATTACAAGGAAGCTGGAAGGCAGAACTTGTTTTCCAAGCACTATAATTTTATGGTCTGGGGCTGACTTCTTATAAGACTACTGGATACAATAAATCTTAAAAAGTGTTTTCTTAATCCTTGGGTTTTTTTAATGCAGATTGGATTCCTGAAAGGAAAAAGCATGTGAGGGCCTATGATTGCAAGGACTGTTTGCCTAGGAGCTTTTTTTTTAATGTTCTGTCTTGTTACCTATCCCTGCATTTGTAGAGGCACTTAATGTTTCACTGGTGGACAGATGCATTCCCCAGACAGACCTAATTGCTTCCATTTTATAAAATAAAGCTTGATTTTTTCCTCCACACGTACTACACCATGTTCTAAGAGCAGCTGTGTAGGAACAAGGGGAATTATATTGGATGAGTAAGCGAAGAATTTGATCCACCCTGACATGCCACTGTATAACTTTTCTTTTTGTTTGTGGTTGATGTGAAAAGCTACTTAGTTTGTCACTGCTGTTCTAAATGTTCTGTAATTGACGTTTTCATCTCCTTACTTTGCCTCCTTTTAACCTTGCCATTATAGAAAAAAAAAAAAAAAACAGACACCAAGAATTAACTGTGCGGTGGGCACCTGACACTTTCTTTCAGAGAGGGAAACTAGAAAGTTTCCATCTCTTAGTCATAGCAGTGACTGTGGCTTCTGTGAGACTACATGTCTTATCACCTCTCTCCTTAGACTCGGGAAGAGCTTTTTCCAATTCATCCAAACTGGAGGAAAGGCCATGGTTGCAAATGGCTTTCTTACCCATCCAAGGCACAAAGTTGAGGGATAATAGCAAGTGACAGAGTACTTGCCAAACAGGGCCATTGTCCAGCAGGGATTTAGAAAAGGTCAGATTTTGAAAGTAAGAGAGCCCGTGAGGGCTCTGTTGAGAGAGAGACCTTGTCCGCAGCAAAAACTAGGGGATTGAATCCAACATTGTTGACTCAGCTTGGCATGTCCCCACTGCAATGGTCTGTAAGATCCCATCACCTTATGTGCAGGTAGCTGGGTTTGGTAGCCTGCGATGGACCTGTCCTGCATGGTTTTGCTATATGACATTAACTCTTATAACACAACTGCAGTTGATGTCTGTTCACTGAAAGTAAGGAGGGAACGTATAACCCATCTCTGCAGTGTTTCGTGTACTAAAAGTAGTGCCTGTTGCTTTAAATCCATCTTGTGCTCTGTCTGTCATTCATCCATCTGCCTCCTCAAATTTTTTGTGAAATTTCAAGTGTCATAACTTATGAAAAAAAAATCTCGCTATTCTTGGATATACCATCTTACTTATTTTTGTACATCTAAAGCCTAAGTTTAATTTTCACCGATTTTTCCAAATGAAACGAATCACCATGCTACTAACCCCACTACACCCTCTTCCACCGCATATATATGATCTAAGTTATTTTATATACTTGGTGTCTGTGCTCGGAAGAATAACTATGACTGAATTAAAGCAGAATAAAACTATTCCTTTTAAAAATCCTGTTAATCCAATCAGAATTAAAATAGTATGCTGGTTATGCTGTCGGAGTCATATATGACCGGCAAATCAAAGATCTTCCAGTATCGTGAGTGTTTTAAAGCTCATAAGCTAAGTAATTACTCCTCCATTGTGTTGAAAATTGAATTTTTTAACTAGCTTTGATTATATTTTTGTTATACATAAAAATCAAAGCATGTGAAGTTAGAAGAAAAACGTAGTCTCAGAAAGGTAGCATCCCTTTCTTCTGCAGACCTCCTTTCTGAAATAGTTTCATTGAACTATGATGATGTTTGCTGAAAAGAGAATTTCTTGTATTTTTAAAAGCTTTGAAGTACATTTTCATTTTGTAATGTAAGACCTCTCATGTCAGGTACACCTGCTTGATTTGCATGTGAATTCTGAACAATTCTTGTTTTATGTGACACTTCTGAAATGTCTGTCTGTTTTTTTTTTCTTTTTAATTCTCAAGCTCACTATTTGGATAAGATAGTGAAAGGTACTGTATATTTGCTCTTTGATGACATGCCTATACCTACATGTACTTTTTTGATATGAATATATAGTTACAAACGTACTAGTCTGGGCAAAAGAACCTTCTCTTACATACATTCCATGATTTGTAGATTTAACTCGTATGACTTCCAACTCATCTCAAATTAAAAATGAAATCTTGCTTATGTTATATAATAACATTTTAATAGTAATTATACATTTATATTCAAACTGTATACATGTATGAGATTTTGTTTGAACCAAAAACTGAAGATAGTATTCATTTGCTGTTTGGTGCTTTTTCTTTGTTAGTTTTGTCATTGGACCTCTGCCTACAAAACTGTAAATATTTAGGAAACAAAGCAAAGTGATACTCTTGTCACAGAACAGGTGTCATTAGTTCTAAAGAACAGATGCATTATAGATATGTGTGTGTTTACATATAGACAGCCCAATAGAATACCCCAGGCTTTTAAGCTTTTGTTTATCTGAATGTAGAAAATCTATAGGAAATTATGACTTGTATTTTGTATGAAGCTAGAAAAAGCTTGCACACTTTATGCAACATTTTCAATTAAAAGGTTCAAGGATGCAAAAGCCTAACATGAAACAGCAAAGATCCTTGTATCTTCAGTTATGGTGAAAAATTGATTTAGAAAAATGTTTAAAATATTCCTACCCCTCTTTCCTTGAGTATCTTTCTCTATTCCTTATTTGTGTTTTTTTCATTAGAATATGGCAATATTCATGGCAATATCCAGGCTTTCACACAATAAGTCTCAAGTGTACCCAGTTGACTCCTAAAACTATCAGTATTGCAATTAAATATGTAAGTCTTCCATAAATTAAAGAGAAGAAAGATTAAGAAAAAAATAGCTCTTAGTACATCAACAAATACTATTAGCAGCTACAGTCTGAAAGAGTAAGAGTAGCAAGGCTGGCATGATGGCAAAAGATCCATAATGGTAGCATCACCGTCCTTCCTCACAAGAGGTTTTCCTGATTCTCTGCCTTGTAAGAGTAATTTGACAAGAGTTAAGCAACCTTTATAACCTTTTTCTGGGCATGTTTGTAATTTGGAGCTACGTGATTGAAAGGAGTCAGTAAATTCAAAAGACTTTAGACGAAAAAAATAGACTATTACTTTTGAAAGACTGTTCTAAGCTCAGCTAAGCTTAACCAAAATGGGTCAGTAGATTAGTTCACATAGATAGTACTACTACAAAGTGAAGAAGTGTTTAGCCAGTTCCTTAGGGTTTTGTGATAAAAGTTTACAGAAAATTGTTGTGTCCAAAAGTATCTGATCTGTAGCCACCTTCTCATAAGGTACTTAGTGCCACATCTGTACTTGCTTCTGTCAGTGTCTTATCATAGTCATAGATAAGGAGCACCAAAATCTACATATTTATAGTGTTGTCATCCTCATACAGATCATGTTGGCTGCATGCCAGATTTCATCACTAGGAAGTGACAGATACTGTTTTTTTAATGCAATGTTAGACTGAAAACAATTATCGATTTCGGATATATTAAATTATTTTAATTGTTTCCCAAATTTTCCCTCCTTGGCCATAAAAGCAGACAAGATAGGATATAAAGGTAACAGCACAAAAGCCTTAGGGAGATTGTCACAAAAAATCACTCTCTGCTATCTGTCTTGAAGCACGTCACTACCGTGTTTTTGTTCAGTCTATCAATGTTTTATTGTGGTCCTTATGGTATTTCATTTTGTCCGTCCTAAGTAATCAAATACGCACAGCTATTACATTTAGTTGAAAATCCTGTTGGTCCTGTCCCATCCGTATGCAGCCTGAATCCTAATGTTTGTTAGAATAGATGCTAAGCTGCTTCACTATTTCCTGGGCTTCGCTTATTCTGTGAAAAGGAATGTATTTTTGGCATAAAGTATAGTCATTAAAACTGGCCTATACTTTGTGCAATTATTTAATGCACTGTAATTTCACATGAATATACGGCAACTCTGAGACTAGATAAAGTTAATGTTCTCTTTTATTACGTGCCTAAAATCATACCCGTTTTCCTACTTAAGAATTTGGAGGGATTTGTTCATAGTAACAGGGAGCTTAAACATTTGTGCCAGTAAGTAACCAATGCTGCATAGAGCAAATAATGATCTATTCTATGAGAAAAATGTATCATTTTACACAGCTGTGTTTGCACTATGCACTCATCTCTTGTTACTTTGCCAAAAAAAAAAAAAAAAAAAATTAAAAACCAAACTTAATTTTGTCTGGCCTGCAGGTATTTAGAGGATTGGTGCATTTATTTCCTGCCTGTACAGGTAAGTGGTGTCTCAAGTGTCAGGCCAATCAAAGATGCCACTTTGTTAAGAATTACGTTCCCCAGGTAATGTTGCTGTTCCACTCCATGTGCAATTACAGTATTTGTGCTGTTCTTAAGGCCTGTTCCCAGTAAGTGTCCCTTGTTTGTATTTTTTTTTCTTTTTCTATAATTGCAATATTTAAATCACTCGTGATTTTTTTTCTTTGTCTGTTTCAACAGAGGGCTGCCCTGGCTTGTGCAACAGCAATGGGAGGTGCACGCTGGACCAAAACGGCTGGCACTGTGTCTGCCAGCCAGGATGGAGGGGAGCAGGCTGTGACGTAGCAATGGAAACTCTCTGCACTGATAGTAAGGACAACGAAGGAGGTAAGATATACCAACTGGATCTTTGACACTCAGGAGAACGTGTTGAGGAATGGAAATTTTACAGTCAGGTGATGAAATATACTGCCACGAGAACCATACATGCATTTTACTAGCTCTTATGCCTGCAAGAACACGCTGCGGTATTCAGTGTTTTTATATGGCATATCAGCAAAGCCTTACAAGCTGCTTGTGACCGATGAGATATGTCCGTAGAAAATGATGGGTGTCAACCTTAGTTTCCCTGCAATGTTCTTTTCTGCTGGAATAAAATATAGTCTCAACTCAGTGAACCGTAGTGGAGGGGAAAAGAAAGAAAGTAGTTCAAATTTTCACAAGGAAATTATCCCAAGAGAAGAGGCCAAACGAAGAGTTTACATTTTGACCTATGATACTATTGCTGGAAACAATTGGTTGCCAGGTCTACAGAGATCTTATCCCTCCATAGCCTGTGAACGCTCAGATAACTGACAGGATGCTCCCAGAAGTCTTTTTTTTTAACTTGCTTTTTCTGCCGTCTGTCATTCAGGTGACAGGTAACAATCTTCAGCGAGATGCAGGCAGAACTGTTGACTTAAGGAATCAATCTGCAATCACTGTTGTAGGGTAGGGAAGGTAGAGAGGCTGTGACTCTGGCATGACTCCAGAATCACACAAAAAAACACACAAAAACAAGATTAAATGTGAATGCAGTCAAATATTAGATCAGCATAATGCTTTTATTGTCTGTCTGTCTTCCCCTTCTCTCATCAACACTTTTTGTTTAACACTTTCAGATTCAGAGCAGAGATAAGAAACTCCATTAGGGCCTCTGGATGATGATAAAGTCATCTGTGACTTTGTTTTTCAGCTTTAGACTGCATAGGCCTTTGCTATTGCTGGTTGGCTGTTTACTCTCATATCCTGACTGCGGTTGGGATCTTAGACATCACAAACTATAAATAACAGCAGCATTTACTTCCCGAGGAAAATAACACAGTTAAAACAGTGCTGCTGTTTATTGCTTTACACGTCATTTGATTTGTCGTCCTTCTCCATTACATAGTGTATATTTTAAGTCAGTTTTGCACATTTAGGGGCCTAAAGACTCTGACACAATGTGATGTGCGCAATCTGAGCTAGTGCGAAGCTGAATTTCTGCATGTAGAAGGGAGCAAGAGGGACGATGAGCCATAGCATTTCCATGCAGACATGGGCTGCTTGGGAAATAAGTTCACGTGGGCCAGGGGATTATGAACATAAGGAAGAAAGAGAAACCTGCAAACTTAAAAAGAGACAAAGCAGGAGGAGGAGAAACTACGTTAGAGCATAAACAACTTGGAGGAAAAAAATTAGATCGTGGAGGGAGAAAAAGCTGAAAGCCCAGTGGTAGACTAAAACAGATTCAGTAGACGTTAAAGTTAACAGAAGGGCGTGGTATCAGAGGGAGAGTCAAGAGCAGATAACAGAGCAATGGGAGGAAAAGGAGCAAGGTGAACAGGAATGCATGTAAACGGAAGAAGAGAAAAGAAGATGCTCCTTCAGACTGAAAACAGTAATAGCTGTTAGTGAGAAAAAGGAGAAAAGGAATGAGGAACTGGAGTAGAAGGATCTAATAGGATGACTTAAACTTGAAGAAGAAAGAACTATTGAAAAAAAAAGTCTAATGCTGATTATTTTGTTGCTTTTTTTTCTCTCAGTTTTTTTCATTATTTCCTTTACAGACATTATAAAACTATGTATGAGGAAGGGATTGACCAAACAGTTGTTCGGCCATGATTGACCTATATGATGCTATTTATCACTGGCATTTCTCTTTCAGTGTACCTTATTTTAATTTATATGCTTCAGTACAGAGCATATTTACTTCAGTCTTAGACTAGTGGCTGAGGAAAAGGATTAAAATATAACAGTTAAATTAAATTAAGAGCTGGAAGCCTACCAAACAAAACTGGGAAAAGAGTCATCTTTGCCAGAAACCCACCTGGAAAGAGAAGCAGTGTTTCTTCCCTTTACAAGAGTACCTGTAATCAGCCCACTAATCTCTGGAGCAAGCCATTCAAATTCCAGACAGCTACAGGGAATGGCACAAGGATGCCTCTGCTGTATTTGTTTATTGTGGGAGATTAGATTATCTAAGCACTTATGCTGAATTTATACCATGACTGCAGGTAGTGTGATTTACATTGCACTAGGCTCAGTGGTTATATAATTAAAGTTATCTTGGTTGTTAGCAAATTGATATGCTGTGGTTAATGTTCATGTTTTATTCTACAGTAGATAAAATATATTTCATACATTAATATTATTATAATTCATTAATAACAGTGTATGCTGTTCCTTTGATTCTGAGCTCTTTATGGGGCTGATTGTTCAAATTCTGTGAACATGAGCATCCCAAGGACCTCAAGGGGAATATTCACCATAGGAAATGCTAATGACATCAAGGCATACTTGATCATTTTCCCTTCTAGATATTATTGACACATGATAGGATGATTATTACTTATCTTCTTTTAATACAGATTTCTGAGGGTCTTGCAGACCATTTCCTTTCTCTTTAAGGATCACTCTTTATTCTTCCATGTGTTTGTTCTGGACAATAAAATACAGAATTTTCTTTACATGTTAGCAACCCACGAGCAATGTGTGTGCAACAAGCAGACTTTAAGGCTGAATTAGACTCCTAGTGGCTTCATGGGGAGAGGGGAAGTCAGAGTCATCTGTGGGTGGAATATGCCTAACTTCTTTACTTGGGGAAAAAAAATCTGTCACTGTTTTACTTTAACAAAGTGGGACACGTTCTATCATCACTGTAGGAAGAATAAGCTGTTTACTCTTTAGTTTAGGTAGGTCTTTATTGAACAGATTCCTTTAAGTTTGCTTTTATTAGCTCCTATCCAATTAAGAGTAGTTAGAGGTTTCCACCAGCAGGATATAAGGGATTATTAATATTCTTTTATTACTAAAATGAAAATAAATACTGTAATAAAGCAAAGCGTACTTAGCACTAGTGTATTTTAATTACTTGCATAGGCTAGGATAGCTTACTCTTGATAAGCATTGTCACAGGGCAGTACAAATTCAGCCTAAAGATTACCTAAACCGGGGCCTCTTCTCTGATAGTGGCTCATAGCAAATGCTGAGCAAAAAGAATGTAATAGGACAAATGTGAACTTACATCTTCTTTGGTATACTAGCAGGCTGCTAATTAAAGTAGGAAAACACTGCCACAGAATGTTTTGAATATCAGAAGGGTTACTAAGTACAAAAATAACCCAAGCTCAGGAAATTTCAGAAAGTTAGTACTTGAGTTAGGACTGATACAGTGGCATGGTCATGTTCTCTGGTTTGTGCTCCAACACTTCCCATTATTTATTCTTCAGCTTTTTGTTTGAATCTGTGGTTACTGGGGAGTGTTGGATTGATATATCCATAGCACTTACCCATGGTGACTCCAGTATTTCCTTCTGGAGTGACAGCTCATTTAGAGCCCAACACTTTATATTTTAGGCTTCTTCACTCCAGCAGTGTGAGTGAAGTAAAACAATAATGTAGTCACTATGTCTTCTATATATAGAAGAACCACTTGCATCTAGAACAAAAAAAAATACAAAATAGCCACCTGAGACTGATAATGATTGTACAACTGGATGTAGGAGTTTCTATTTTCTTTATAATTTCACTGTCAGATTTGAGTGATACAACTGTTAAACCAGAGTTGAGCTAAGTCTCATATTTTTCAGGCTAAATAAAATTCATCAATAATTTTGCAGAGCCATTTCAGAAAGGAAATTTTGCTCTGCAATAGAGTGCTCCACTCAGTGGTACTAGATAGCTCTAGCCACATAAGTATAGAGAAAGAATGAAAAATGTTTTCTCAAGTTATAAGGAGACAGATTCATAACCATCCGTCACTCGCCTGGGCAAGTTGCTGATAAACTCCATGGAAAAATAACAAACGGCATGTCCCTATATCTTGGCTGGTGAAAATGAGATTCTTTCTCTGATTGATGTTAGCAGAGAGACTTGTAAAAATGCATTTCCAGCTGATTAGTTTGGAAGGTGTCAATCTCATGCAGTTTTATGACCTGCAGACTATACTCCAGATATACATTTGCTTTCTATAAACTAACAAAGACGAATTGATGAAATTTGAGCATTTCTTTGGCAACTGCAACAGATACTGCGTGGGAGACCATACAGAGATATAAAACCCCAAAACTATGCTTTTAAGCATCAGTACCCCCAGCTTTGACACTGATCCAGGCTTCTAGAGTTAAAACCAGCAAGGGAGGTTAGTACTTCAGCTAGGAAAGGATTTCAAATTGTACAAGAATGAGACTAGAAAATCACAAGAGCCACAGACTATTTGAGGTTGAGAAGGCCTCTGGAAATCATCTCGTCCCACCCCCGTCCACTAGAGCAGGTTGCTCAGGGCCATGACCAGTTGGGTTTTGAGTATCTCCAATGATGGAGACTCCACAACTTCCCTGCGCAACCTGTCTGACCACTTTCACAGTAAAAAAAGTTTTACTGATGTTCAGACAGAATTTCCTGTGTTTGTCTGTGCCCATTGCCTCTTGTCCTTTAGCTGGACGGCACTGAAAAGTGGTCTTTTTTACACCCTCCCATTAAGTATCTGTACACATTGATAAGATCCCCTCCCCCAGCCCTCTCTTCTCCAAGCTAAACAGTCTCAGCTCTCTCAGCCTTTCCCCATGGGCGAGAGGCATAAAGACCTTAACCGTCTCCATGGCCTTTCACTGAGCTTTCTCTAGTATGTCCACATCTCTCTGGAAGGCCCAGCCTGCACACAGCACTCCAGGTGTGGCCTCCCCAGTGATGAGTGGAGGGGAAGGATCACCTCCCTTGACCTGCTGGCAACACTCCACCTAATGCAGCCCAGGACATCACTGGCACCGTCTTTGCTGCGAGGGCATGTTGCTGGATTATGTTCAATTTGGCGTCCACCAGGACCGCCAAGGTCTTCTCCCCAAAGCTGCCTTGCAGCCAGTTGTCCCCCAGCATGTACTGGTCCATGGAGTTGTTCATCCCCAGGCACAGGACTTCGCACTTCTCTTTGGTGAACTGCATGAGGTTCCTGACAGCCCATTTCTCCAGTCTATCTGAATGGCAACATGGCCCTCTGGTGTATCCTCATCCCAGGAAAAATCAATGTTCTTTCTCTTAAAAAAGTTTAAACTTTGATATTCCTAATGATGACTTTTTCATCCCTTTCATTTTCCCTGAACTGACTTCAATGTCAGCTGAGTTAAATAAGAATTTTAGATGTGCAAAAGAATAGAAATCCCAGTCCTTTACTATTTTGCCAATTCTCCAACTGATCCACATAGCACAGCAATCCTTAGAGGAATACCTTTAGAAGATCTCTGTTTACTTATACTCTTTCAACATGTGATTGAACAGAAATGGATGATATTTTTCCCTTCAGAAAGAATTTTACACTAAAGCTAGATTCTTTTGTGAGAGAAGCGGTCATGGGCTTCCTCTGAGTACTGCATTGGTATATTTTTCAGTTTAGTACAGCAAGCAAGCTCCCTCTCTAATCCAAATGGAATAATAAAATGTTTGAGCTATTTCAGTCATGCTGTTCTTTTGGGGAAACAATTATCAGCTATGTGATGCCATATTACATTCATCTAGAAATTTTCTGTAGCTGACATTTCCAGGCTCATTTTCCTTATGACTTTACTTACAGCAAATTAGTAGTTATCAATTTGATCTTGATTTTAATCCTTCACCAAATTAGATTTCCAGTGATGTGACAGATCTATTGCTCATTATATGTGAATATTTCAGTACATAAGCATAAAAGCACCCATGTGTTTAAATCTTGTTTATACTGGTCAGCATTCCTCATCAGTTTATTCAGAATGAAATCTAAATGTTAAATACAGATTTTGTTCTCTCATACATTTTCATGGAAAATAGTTGTGGAAATTGCCTTTGCCAGTAGCGACAAAATCTTTGTGCCAAGGTATAAAGGAATCCACCTTGATAAGTGTTCTGATATATTTAAAGCTATTTGCAGCATAGATACGCTAAAAAACTTCAGGAAAATAGCCAAGTGGGAGTTACTTGTTTCTTTTCTCTAGCAAGCAAAACAACCTCAGCTAAAGCTACTTAGACCCACCTAAGATGTTTAATATTTATAAGTTAACAGTGTATGCAGACCCTGAACGCGTTCGTTTTCTAGTTTGTTTTTTAATCTCTCTGCTGGCTGGCTCATTCACCTATGTGCGAAGGGGCAGGAGGAAGAGTTTGTTCATTTGTGTGAATTTCTGCCAACAGATGGGCTAGTTGACTGTATGGATCCTGACTGCTGTTTGCAGAGTTCTTGCCAAAACCAGCCTTATTGTCGTGGCCTACCTGATCCCCAAGATATTATCAGCCAAAGCCAACAGTCGCCATCTCAGCAAGCTGCCAAAGCATTTTATGACCGGATCAATTTTCTCATCGGAGCAGACAGCACTCATGTCATACCTGGGGAAAGTCCTTTTAATAAGAGGTGAGCATGACTTATTTACTCATAAATACGAAAGAAACTGAAGAGTGCATGATATTCACATTTAGGAGAAGATCCACTGTGGCTACAAATTTCATGGCATGGACTTTCAACAGAGACCTTTTCTCTTAATGTACCAAATTGCTTATCTTGTCTCATATCCTGCAAAATTCAAATTGCCAGTGCCAGTAGGTTACAGAAGGTATTTGCCCTACTTAGTACCTGTATTCTAACAGGGCACTTCATTAATGATTAAATAAATCTTTATTTAACTAGTTGATTTGGGCTAGCACAGTTGGAAATACATCAAAGCAACGAAAACACTTCAAAAGGAAAAGCAAAGATGCACTTTTTAAACTGAGCTCACTAAATAATATAAATTATGAATTAATGTAATAGAACTGTTAAATGCATGACAGTATAATTGCATAAAGTATTTGACTGGTGCTCTACGAAGCAGTAATGACGTGAAAATAAACCAGTAACAGGAAGCAGGTGTCTGGGATCTCACTGAGTGAAGGAAGATGATTTACACTAGAACTACTGCGTTTGCAGTAATTTAACAGCATTAATGTGTTTGGGCACAGCAGTTGATTAAAAGTTGTTGTACAAATGTTCTTTATTGCTCTTTTAAATTTTGTACTTCGTAGTCCCTGCAGTTTTACAGATTGCTTTGATACTAATTGAAAACTATGTTGTTCTTGAAGAGTCTGTCAAGGGTATGACTTACAGTGGGCACATCTACAGTTTACAAGTTCTTCAAATTCTTCAGTGAATTTCTGGTCTTATTAACCCAGTACAGACAAAACGAATCAAAGTAAAATCAGCAATACTGAAACAAAACTGTTATCTGTAGATTTCAAGGCATTTGTTTATACAGTGTAAATTATGTGAACTTGTAAAAGTGTTATTTGAGTCTCAGGAATCTTTTTTTTAATGGTAGTTGATACCATGTAGAGATGCGTGTGTGTGTTTTCACTCTACTAGCTTTCATTCATTCAAAAGAGCAAAAAAAGGAAATTCGAAATTTGATCCTGCATCTTTTTCACAGTCTTGCATCCGTCATAAGGGGCCAAGTATTAACTGCTGATGGAACGCCACTCATTGGAGTCAACGTCTCCTTTCTACACTATGCAGATTATGGATATACAATCACTCGCCAAGATGGAATGTAAGTTTCCTTTGAAGCACTTCTAAGTCATAGAGACAGCAAAGGCATTAATGAAGAGCTGCTTGTAAAAGTAAGATAATAATAAAACAATGGAAACAGAAGACATGAAAAAAGTGATTGACCAAAGTTGTACTTTGTATATTCTTCAAATGTTAAACATGCTGATTATATACTTTAGAAGTAGAAGGGCTTGCTTAATTTAAAGGCAGCATCCTAAACTCTGCATTCTCTTAGCACGGTATTACATAATATAATTTAATTCATTTCTCCATTTTTCCCAGTAGAGCCATTCTGCCTTCAGAGCAGTACAATGGAATGAAGAATCAATCCATAAAATGGAGGCTGTGGATGGCTTTGGAATTTGCTGACTAGCTAGCCCTGTTGGGTTTTTTTTCTAGGTTTGACTTGGTAGCAAATGGTGGTGCCTCTCTGACGCTGGTGTTTGAGCGATCACCGTTCCTGACACAGCATCACACCGTATGGATTCCCTGGAATGTCTTTTATGTCATGGATACCCTTGTCATGAAGAAGGAAGAAAATGACATTCCTAGTTGTGATCTGAGCGGATTTGTAAGGCCAAACCCTGTTATCGTGTCATCTCCTTTATCCACCTTTTTTAGAATTTCTCCTGAAGATAGTCCTATCATCCCAGAGACACAGGTAAAGTGTGCTTCAAATAAATAGGCTAGTATTAAGCAACTGTAATGAAAAGAGTGCAAATTACTGTTTTACAAATAATTATGACTAACTGCTAAGAATTTGCAACATGTGATTATGTTGAGACCAATTTACTTCTTTATTCTATAGGATGATTTTTTAAATTTCATCTGAAAAAAAGAGGTAGAGAAAACTTGGTGTACACTAGTGTCTGGTTTTATATTTGTTTGCATCATTTTATTTACAGAATGTCTTCAGCAGTCAGGCACTGCCCCATCAAAATGGACACACTATAGTACATCTGACTTTTTTTTGACTGCCCTCTTGTTAGAAGTGCACCTCAGAAACTGAAGATGAAAGGTGGTTTTCCACTGTCTAAAAGACCCGTACAGTTCAATGTATCTGTTTAGTCCTAATAAATCGCATGACACTTAGATTTTTATAAACTAAAAGAACTCTGTAACACCAAGGACAGGCTCACAAACCAATGAGCATGTGTGCTGACCTATTTCTTCAGGACTTGTAATACTGAAAGTAAGACTTAACATCAAAACCTTGCTTTAAATGGAAAGAGTTCTGACTGGAACCTGTTTTCTCTAACACAGATGTATTAAATTCCTACCTCTCAAATAACTAATCACTAGTATAGTCTTCCTCAACTCTTAAAGCAGAGTTGCATTTCAAGAAGTAATTTATCTCAATGATTTCTGATAAAACTTTTCCTAGTGAAACCACTCTTTCTGCCTCCGTCTTTCTCTCCCTCTTCCTTCTCTCCCTCTCCCTTCTCTCTGTCTCCTTGCCCCCTCTTTTTCTCTCCCGCACCTTCACAATGTCATAATTACATAGGGCGCTCTTTTTCCCATTCACTAAGAAATGTCCTTGTCTCTTCAAGGGAAACATAGAAAATGTATTCAAATGTTTTCATGCAGAGCTCTTAAGATCAAAATCATTAAGCAATTCATGGTAGGAGCAGGTTTAAAGTAAAGATGTAAGGAAATTACAACTAAGTGCTCATACAAATCTAGACTGTGCTAGGAAATCGTTGCTTTTATCCTCAGTATCATTTCTGTGCCTCTGATAGTTGCAAGTCAATTAAAAGTAAGTATTTGCAAAGCACAGTCCACTGAAAAACAGCTGTTTGGCAACAGATGATAGATTCAGTTCGTGAAGTGATGGAAAACAGCTTAGATGGATGGGGTGTAAATCAAGAAAAAAGTAATAATGTGTGAATGTCAGAAAAATTATATTTTTAAAAAAACATTTGTAGTGCCTAGGTAAACAAGTCATTTCATGAGCAGTGGGACTAATGAAGTCTGGACTTCTACTAATTCCTACTAACACCCATTGCTATAATTCCAGCTATCTGCCACATCCTGTCCTTCCCCCACTGACTGCACTCAGCCTTTTTCTTATGGGAGTACGAACTTGGCTACTTCTTCCCTACCTGAACCCTTTATTTTATAAACCCTAAAGGAACTGAATTATCTTCAGAGATTTCTACTGCTATTTCAAATGTGGTTGAAATTGGCTACCAGTTCAAAAGTAGTGAGGTGGGAGGGCTGACAGGCAGGACTGTTGGATTGATTTCCCTAGAAAACCAGACAGAAGGAAAGAGCGTATTCTCAGTGGATCCTAGGCAGTTGGTGTCAATGGGTCATTTATGATGAGGTAAAAATAGTACTGTTCTTATGTATGCAAAAATCCAGTTCCAGTACTGTGTTAAAAAAAAAAAATCAGGGAGTATTTTCTTCTATATTCTTTGCTCATCACACACATAATCCTGTGCTTAGGCAAGCAGGAGCTGCACATCCATGCCTGGGACATACCCCTTTAGGGTCAGGTTCCCCTCAGAAATGCATAATGCTCAACAGTTTGTCTCCCAAAAAATTCACTACTCTGATAAAAGATGGGCAGAACCAGATTCCGTTCAAAACTGTCTGTTCATCTCCAGAGGAACTGCTGTAGATCTTTTCATTAAAAAGGGGCAATGCCAGATTAAACTGGAAAGCACAGAGGAAGGAACCATTCCCCATGTTACTTCGGTCAGTATTAGTCACCCTGTTAGTGTGGTTTGACAGCACTCACTGGCACGTACTACAGGAGAAAGTGATGTGCTGCTGTAATCATCATCCATTGAAGTGCTTCATCGTCGCTTGGAGATAATGTATCCAAAAGAGTGTACTTAGTGGCTTATGAATCCCAAATTGATCAGAGGGGTAAGTACTGTACCAAAGTCTGTACTGAAGAAGTAGCACAAAAGAAAACCGAAAAAAAGAAGGCAAGCAATGGGAAAGAACAAATGCAGTGGATAAAGCGGTGATCACAGACCCAACAGATCATTACTCAAGTGAGATGATAATAAATAACGTTAACTAAATCTGTACTACTTAGACACGACTATATCTATTTTTAATTGCAAGTTAGCATGCTCTGCTTAGACTTAAGTAGCTGAGACTGATCAGACTGGAGATGAACAGACAGTTTTGTGTTGTGGTTTAACTTGAGATAAAGACAGTTTAATTGGACAGAAAAGGAAGGGGAAATTCTAATTACTAAATAATAATAATAATAATGGAATATACAAAATAAGTGATGTACAATACAGTTGCTTGCCACCCGCTGACTGATACCCAGCCAGTCCCCAAGCCATGGTTTTCCCTAGCCAGCTCCCCCAGTTTATATGCTGGGCATGCCATCATATGTATGGAATACCCCTTTGCCTCATTTGGGCCAGCTGTCCTTGCTGCGTCCCCTCCCAGCTTCTTGTGTGCACTCCCTGCCCTGCTGTCAGGGCAGTATGAGAAGCTGAGAACTCCTTGACTTAGTCTAAACACTTAGCAACAACTTAAACATCAGTGTGTTATCAATGTTATTGTCATCCTAAAGCCAAAACACAGCACTATGCCAGCTACTAGGAAGAAAATTTATTCTTATCCCAGTCAAAACCAGGGCAGTGTGGAACAAAACAGTAAACCACATGCAGGTGCGGGAAATCAGGTTAAGCTGGAGCTTCTAATATGTGTTAGGTAATATTGTTGCTGTCTTTTTATAATAAATGTTCTTTGGCCACATATTGCAGCATGGTCTGGCAGAAACCCACATGTGAGTCACAACGAGCAATTCTGAAATTAAGTTTTTGAGGCTTTCCTTCTCCTAAACTTCTATGATACACTGTTAGGCTTGCAAGATGCCTTCTGCAGGTCCTGAGCAGCTTGTTTCCACACCTCAAGTGCGGGGGGGAAGGAAGACTGAAAAGCTTTCCTTCAAATTATATGTTCAAGGTTGCCCACTTTTTTTTCCTCTCTCCTGACTCTCTCACTACTGGCTATACTATCCAGCAGAAGCCGGCAAAATATATTTACACAGAAAAATTCGGGGTAAAATATGGACCTCAGTAACTTAATAAAAACTTCAGGGTGGCCAGATTTTTCAGCAAATTAACCTATTTTATCATTTAAATAGGCAGTATAATAGGGTGTCTAGATATTCCAGTATTACATGTATGGTGGATCCTGGTTTCACACAGGTAAAATCTTCAGAACTTCAAGTCCATACTGAGAAAAAAATGGAGATTACACTTAGAGCCACAAGTCTCCATTCATGTGTCCTTATTTTTCAGCACGTTTTCTGGTTTTCTTGTCTTTGCTTTCTGTTTGAAACTTTATATATACCTCTTGATTTACTCTTTTATGGACACATTTTTAGGTTTCTACACAGGTCTGACTTTTTCCTATCCTTCTTCTCTGCCGTATGTCAGCAATGTTCTAAGTCTAGAAAAAAGAAGTATTTTTTCCCCTTTTCATTTCTTCTTGCTTTGTATTGTTAACTCAAGGTTATTTCTTTACAAGTTCATTTAAAAGCCTCAATTCTAGGGGAAGTCTTTTTTTTAAAACGAAAGCATTTTTCCTTGAGACGTTTCGGCTTCTACTTAAAGAAGTATAATTTTAGTACTCCTTGGTCTCAAGGTTTGTGCAAAAGCAGTAGTTGCCAACGTCTACCTGTATCTAAAAATGCCATCTTTACGCCTCTCAAACCAAGGTGATGTTAAACTTTAATGGAGCAGTTCAGCTGTTACTTCTTGGCAAAGAACCTTTTTCTAACATCAGGGCTAAAGTTTGCGCTCATTTGTCAAATTTGTCCTCTAGTGGAGTTGCTCATTTTGCCAAAAAATACCATGGCAATACAGCAGGCATTTTTTCCCCCGTAATTGAATTAAAATCCTTTTTCATGGTTCTTAATACCATCAGAGCATGTCAGTTGAATCATACTATATTTTGGAGCAGGGAAGCATTGGATGGCTTTAGTCCTGCTGGCCACAAGAGGCAAGGAGCCCTGCACAATTTGTGTGACTCAAGTCACCAGCTTGAACTCTCAGGACAGCAAACTCTGTCTTTGTGAAAATTGAGGTGACCCTTATCTCAGTCCTGTAGGTTAAATATTTCATAGCTGTCCTTCCAAGAAGCTTGATCATCCATAAATAGAATGTCAACCATTAGAATTCGGTGTTTGGGCTATAACTCAGTCCCTTTAGGGTATCAGTCTTTCTGAAGGTAGTTTGATACTCTGTCTGGAAAAGGTAAAGTACAGACAGCTTGGCTGTGTTGGCAATTCCTAATGTGGCTTTTATACCCGGTGACTTCCCTGATTGCTTTACAATTGATGTGTTGTCGTGGCTCCCATAGGGTGCTCTCTGCTGTACCTGATGATTTAACTTTTTGGATGAACATTAAACTGTTTTAATTCTCTTTGTAATGCTTGATTCTGGGAGAGAGATTGAGATGCATAATCTTACCTCTACATTTCTAAAGTTCTCAAGAAAATAAGTTGCTACAGGGGATGTTTTATGGAGAAAAGGAAGTTACAAATCAGATTTTAGCAGATATTTGAGGCTTCTGCAGAAACTAATAATAGGGGTTCGGGTTTTGTTTTAAACCTCAGTGAGAACCACATGAGTGTCCTAGTTTCTAATTTGATAGTAATCCAAATACACAGTGGAATTTCTT